GTGTTTGTGAAAAACGCATGCATGCATGTGTATTTAAAAAAATCACAAATTGTTAGCCAAGGAACCTCGCCGAAGTCATATGCCTGGGTGTCCTGGTCGGCCGTCATGGCTGTGTCCGAGACGAGGCGGGCCGCAACACTAGACTTCCGGACTCGGGAGGCAGCTTTCTGGAGCCGGGTGGACTGCGCTGTGACCCACTCCTGCATTGACCCCTTCCTGGACGGGTCTAAATGCAGACTGCAAACAAGCTTCTTCACAGCAGCCCGGCACACCTTGCTTGTGAAAAACCGCATTGGGCCAAGGCCGCCCCGAGCTGTGTTTGGAAGCTGAAACAACCCGCCCAACAAGCGAATGTTTTTCGATCGCTTGAAGTTGCCTCGGGGAAGGAGCTGGCCAGTGCTTTCCACTGTGTCCCAGACGCCATCCACATGCATATACGCATGCAAAAACCCATAAAGCAACGCCACCCGCTTCTCGCGTAGGTGCCGCTGCGCAGCCCTTCGGCCCATGCCCCCCATGGTTGCCCGCCGCTTGGCTGAAAACCAGCTGCAGCCACGCAAGAACTCAGCTCAAATGCTGCAGCACATGCGTGCAGTAAACCCGGCCTGGCATGCTGGCGGGGCACTATAGTCGTGCCATTGACCGGGGTTCTCTTCGTGTTGTGCGTGCTGTGTTGTCACACATGGCATGTATGCATAACATGTATAGGTCTAAATGGAGATGTATATACATATATGAAACGAATACACACACATCTAAACAAAAAGTATGCATATGCGCGTGCGTGCTGCTTTCATGTGTTTGAGCCAAGGACTGCGCAGCGCTGGAGCGGCCGCACTTAGCTCACAGAGAAAAAAGGTGCAGCCAAATCGTAACACGTGTGTGAAACTGTTTTTCTTCTTTGCTATTGGGGGCTATGTACTCTTGAGAGGTGTAGCTATAAGGGAAAAACTTTAAACACATATGCTTTTAGGGGCCCCTGCCCAAAACATGCACACACATGGCTGACATGGTGTGGCTCAAGACCTACTATGCTGGGCTCAAGCCCTACTACGCAAGGCATTTCTGCTAGTGCACCCGGCAGCCTCTCTGAAGCTTGAATGTCAGTGATTCTGCCAATGTTGAGAGGGGACCCTTGTGGCCGCTCAACACCTTGGATCCTTGTGGCCGGTTAACCTGCGCTGGTCTGCGCCCGTGAGCACCTTCGGCCAGCTGATCACGAAGAGGTCAACGCTCTATTCCGCCTGAAGACATCCCTGGCCGAGGTGGATGCGGTGATGCGGAACCAAGACCTGCAGGAATTCATCGAGGCGGAGGGGATCGACGTGGAGACTGGCGAGCAGATCCAGCTCGAAGCGGAGGAGGTGGATCCCCCACAGGAGGACACGGTGATGGACGAGAGGGTCCGGAAGGCTGGTGAGATTGCGACCAGCTACGGGGTTTCACGAGGCGAAGGAAGAGTCTGGATGATGTGCCTCAACCAACGCAGAAGATCCGGCGATCCTCCTCAGCGAAAGGTTCTGGACGGGCTTCCTCTGCACGTAAGTCTGCCGTGCGAGAAGTGATGATGGTTAAACGAGGCAGCAGCGAGAAGTCCAAGGACAAGGCTTTGGAGAAGGAACTCCCCTGGGAGCGCATTCCCGAGGAAGAGAAGCACCTCTACGTGGAGGCAGAGGTGAATCTGAAGCAGTGGCAGGAGCATTTGAAGTTCGAGGCCGTGCGACCGCTCTCAGTCGCGGAGTCCAACTGGGTCCGGGAGAATGTGGCGAACGACCGGATCCTGAACTGCCGCTTCGCCTACCGGGACAAGAACTATAGCAAGAGGAAGGCCGCGCCGGATCCCTTGCAAGCCGAAGGCGCGCCTGTGTGTCGGTGGACACATGGACCCGGACATCGGGAAGGTGGAGATGCAATGTGATGCCCCGACTGCCACAAGGACCAGCCTCATGCTGACGTTGCAGAAGTTGCTCAACGAGGACTGGGAGGTCTGCATCTTGAACGGCATCCCGGCGGGACGCAACCTCTACTTCCGCCAGCCGAAGAGGGGGATTCCAGGTTTGGAACCTCACCAGCTCGTATCCATCGAGAAGGGAGTGTTCGGGCTCTCTACGAGCCCAAGGCTTTGGTGGGAAAAACTCTCCAAGGACGTCACGAACCTGAAGTTGGAGGTGGAGGGGGAGACGCTGGTGGTGAAGCACAACCTCATCGACCCCTGTGTCTTCGAGTTCCGGACCCTGGACGGCGAGGTCCGGGCTCTGATGCTTTCTCATGTGGACGACTTGCTCCTGGCCGAGGCAGTCCGCCAGAAGCTGGACGCGATGTTCCCCATCGACGAGTGGAGCTTTGGGGACTTCGACTATGTCGGGAGCCACTATGACCTGGACGTGGAGAAGGGCACGATCACCATCACCCAGAAGGACTACATTGATGGGCGTCTTCAGAGGCTGGATTTTGACAAGGAGGCGGACGAAGAGAAGGAGGTGGACGGCGAGCTGAAGGCGGACAACCGCACGGTGGTGGGGAGTCTCAGCTGGCTCGCGCTGCAATCTAGACCCGACCTCCGATGGGCGTGGCGGAGGCACAACGCCATCAGAATGCGCCCCGGATCAAGCACCTCAAGGAGACCAATGCTCTGGTGACCCAAGCCGGGAAGTTCCAGGGCGAAGGCATTACCCTCCGGAAGATTCAACCGGGCCGGGAGATCCTGATCGCCTACCACGATGCGGCCTGGGGTAACGTTGAACTGGAAGGTGAACGTGATGAAGAATGGGAAGGAAAGTTCCTGACCGGCTCACAGCTTGGGGTGATGATCTTCATGGCGGACAAGGACGTCCTGAACAAGGAAGGAGGCCCGGCCAGTCCCTTGACCTGGATGAGCAAGGTGTGCAAGAGGACCTGCCGGTCCACGTTTGCGGGTGAAACTATGGCGTGTTGCGAGGCTTCGGAGCATGCGCTGTTCCTGCGGGACCTGTGGAGCAGTTTCCAGAAGTCCGAGTCGGGCACGATGGACTTTCACTTCATGACCGACTGCCGATCCCTGTACGACCACATCCACAGGGCGGGAGCACCGAAGGCCCCGTCGGAGAAGCGATTGGCCATCGACCTGGCGGGTCTCCGGCAGATTCTCCGTCAGGAGGGACAGCGGCAATTGGAACTGAGGAACCCTGGTCTGGAGCCGACGCCCACTCGCCCCATGAAGGTGCCGCTCCACTGGGTGCCGACGGAATGGCAGATGAGCGATGTGCTCACAAAGAGAATGTGCCCGCGGAAATGGTGGGGACTCATGGCGAGCGGCAGCATCCAGATCCCCTGGAAGTTCAACAAGCAGAAGTGAAGCTCTGCCAACAAAAAATTGGCTCCATTTTGGAGCTGTGTGAATATGTTAGCGTTTGCACGTGGGAAACCTTCCCCGACCGGCCGTTAGGCCCAAGAGTCAATCGAACAGGTAGGAAAAGGTGCTCATGCGCAGCCTCGCATGATCTTGCCTGCTCTACGGCATCAACACCTGCCTCGACAGACGCCACGTGTTTGTTTGCTTCAGGCTCTTTTTTTGGTTGAGTTGGGGATGGCAGACATAGACATGACCTGATGTGTTCTGTTTTTTTTTGGCCTAACGCGCCCTTTCAGGCTCTTTTTGTGTTTGCTCTTTTGTGCTTGCTCTTTTTGTGAATTTGAAGCCATGCCGACAAAGTTCAGGAAGTGCAGTATATGCATAGAGATACACATATGAACGACGGACAAAACCTAGTAAAGAGCGGCAGGTTGGCATCATCCATTTGCACGCATTCAGCAAAACGACACGGACCCCCCCTCCAAATAAACCCTAAACCCTCGAGTAATATGTGAGAGAGACGGGTAAACACACTGCACTTGCTACAGGGACTGGGGAAGAGGAGAGTGCTGCATCATGCGCATATGCGCGGAGAGCGATATTGGGAGGCCCCAAAAGCGATAATAAGCTGCAGGAATAACGAGGTGCACTTCGTATACTTCAGTGTGCCAAACAATTGCGACTCTTGAGCCGGAGCTGTGAAAGCGCTCTCGAAATTTTGCGCTACTGTGTTTTTTACTGATCGTTTGCGACTCCCAAGCCCAAACTATGACATTTGTGAACGACTCCAATTGCGGTTAGCGATTTTCGCAGCGCCGCGAAAACACACCTCGTGCACGGGGAGCTGCCGCAGAGGCGTTTTTTTCTTATAAGGGACCTGTGGAAGGCAATGAACTTGCAAGGCCCAGCGCAGAACAATGTTGTGACAGCAGTAGTAGCAGGGGCAGTCGCAGTACTTTGCGCACTTCTGAACGAAACATTGTTCGATCTGAGACTGGTACTGAAAACAAGCGATGTTTAAGCTGGAGCTGCCAAATAGCGACCTTCGCTTGCTACACACGTAGTTAAGAGTTGCGATGTTCGAGCTGGAGCTGAGCAGCTGGCACACGTCCTTGCCTGTGCACTTCGAAGTTGCGATTTTCAATTGGGCTTCGCATTGCACCTTTGCGCTGCAACAAAAGAAGTTCGAGCGGCAGGCAAACGCGGCCTGGCTCGTCAACTCTCCGAAGATTTGACTTGAGAGAAAGGTGGTGGGCGCGGCAAAACTTAAGCTGTTTTGAGTCGAATGTTGTGTTCGGAAGCAAAGGAAACAATTTAGTAGATGCATTTTCAAGCAGAATCCGACAAGTCACGCTGATCGAAGGGTCTCCCCAACCACAAGGGAGCCTGAGACTCGGTCGAGTTTGAGCCTCCCTTTTTTCGGCTGATGCAGGGGCGAGCCCAAGCCTGAAAAACGCAATCGGTGCCCTCCTCACATGCAACTTGGGCGGTTTCTTCCAAGAGTCCCTTTGTCAGGCCCCAAGTGGGAGTGTCTTTTTTTGTAGGGTACCCTGTTCGTCATTGGCTCAAAGTAAAACCAAAATGATACCAACCAGTTCGGGATTCTCCGATGAGAGTGGAGGCCGCTGTCAGCAAGTCACATGAGCTTCGGCTCGGGCTGTTGCGATAGGACCTGCCCGAGCCGAAGTCTTCAGAGTTCACCCAGCTTTTGCAGGCAGGCTGACCGTGGTATACGGTGGTATGGGTTTCAGTTGCACGGGCTCCATGTCTTGGATTGTGAGCCGGGGCCGCTTCCTGCTGCAGCATCTCGCTCTACCATGTTTTTGGAGAATGGCGGTTTGGAAGTTATGTTGTTTGTTTGTGTGGATGATCCCGTGGCTGTTGTTGTTTGCAATTGGGGGCAGGAAGCCGGCAGGCTTGTTGACTGCTTCTACTTGTTTGCTTGCTTGTTTGCTTGACCGAGACTGCTTTGTGGATCACCAATGCTTGGAGTGGTGTCAACAAAACACACATTCGGGCGCACAACACGACACTCCTGAAAAACAAGCGAGCTCGTCCAACAAAGGGAACGGAGCCTTTGCCTCACCCGAACGAGCAAGGTAAACAGAAAGAGGCAAACCTGGAGACTCCACAGAGAAGAGCACATACTAGCAGGTTGGATTTGCAGCAATACTACACTGGGTAGTGTGCCCCTCCGATGGTTAGGATCCTTTCTCGGAATATCTAGGAATAGTCACCATAGACAACATTTCGAGCGAAGGAGATACTAATCATGATTACATACACACAGATCGTCATGCATGCACTGAAGGAGCCACAGCTGCCCACAAGCAGTTGCAATCCCTTGTGTTAAATAATCATACTAATCAATCATGTGTTTTTATGCCTGTTCAGGTTTTTCCCAGATAGCTGAAAGCTATAGGGGTTCTAACTTCTAATAAAGAAGGAAAAGTGATTTGCGAGATTGAGGGCCGGGTGCTAGGGGGCATGCAGTTTGGGGTGCTGGTGGAGGTGCTGCTTTGCGAGCTTGACGGCCGGGTGCCAGGGGCTTGGGGTGCTAGTAGTGGAGGTGCTGTTTTGCGAGAGTGATGGTCGGGTGCTAGGGGGCATGCAGTTTGGGGTGTTGGTGGAGGTGCTGCTTTGCGAGATTGACGGCCGGGTGGCATGCAGTTTGGGGTGCTGGCGGAGGTGCTGTTTTGCGAGAGTGATGGCCGGGTGCTAGGGGGCATGCAGTTTGGGGTGTTGGTGGAGGTGCTGTTTTGCGAGAGCGATGGCAGGGTGCTAGGGGGCATGCAGTTTGGGGTGCTGGTGGAGCCGGGTGCTAGGGGGCATGCAGTTTGGGGTGTTGGTGGAGGTGCTGTTTTGCGAGAGTGATGGCCGGGTGCTAAAGGGCATGCGGCTAGTGGAGGTGCTGTTTTGCGAGAGTGATGGCCGGGTGCTAGGGGGCAGGCAGTTTGGGGTGTTGGTGGAGGTGCTGTTTTGCATGGCCGGGTGCTAGGGGGCATGCAGTTTGGGGTGCTAGTGGAGGTGCTGTTCTGCGACAGTGATGGTGGAGGTGCTGATTGACGGCCGGGTGCCAGGTGTGACGTGCTGGTGAAGGTGCTTTGCGAGATTGATGGCCGAGCGCTACGGGGCATGCAGTGGGTGCTGGTGGAGGTGTTGCTTTGCGAGAGTGATGGCCGGGTCTGTTTTGCGAGAGTGTTCGCCTGTTTTGCGAGAGTGATGGCCGGGTGCTAGGGGGCATGCAGTTTCGGGTGTTGGTGGAGGTGCTGTTTTACGAGATTGACGGCCGGGTGCCAGATGTAGTTCGGGGTGCTGGTGCTGTTTTGCGAGCTTGACGCAGTTTGGGGTGGTGGTGCAACTGCTGTGTTGGGTTGCCGGGTTTCTAACTTCTAATGAAGAAGTGGGATTGTTTTGCAAGATCGACGGTTGGGAGCTAGGGGGCATGCACTTTGGGGTGCTGGCGCTGTCTTGAGGTGTTGGTGACGGTGTGGGCGCATATGGACGGCAGGGTGCTAGGGCGGGTGCTGTTTCATGAAGCCGTTGAACCGGTTCGGACGTTGTTGCTGCTCTAGTAGTCTAACAGTCGTTTGTCATGGTGCGTGGTTCGTGGCTGGTGTGTCATCATGATGTTGTCACCCGCGTCAGGATGCTGCTGTCACTGCGATGCTGCGATGCTGCGTTATGGTTCGTGGGTGTGGTGGCGCCATGATTGCTGCCAACATCAGGATGATGCTGAATTTCACTACGCTGTCGCGAGAAGATTCGTGGCTGTGGTATCATCATGCTGCCTTTTCAATTTTACCATTACCATGATGCTGTTCGCATCACCATGATGCTGTCCGCATCATGGTGGTGCTGTCCGCATGATCGTGATTCTGTCCGCATCATCATGATGCTGTCGAACTCATCAGGACGTCGTCTCTGCCTTTTTTCTGCTAGATATGTGGCGCGGAATCGTTCGTTGCTGGTGCATCAGCATGATGCTGTCAACATCATCATTTTTGCTGCTGAACTCATTAGGACGCTGTCTTCGTGTCTATTTAGCGCACATGCTGAGTGGCACATCACAGCTACGAACCATTATGCAGCATCATAATGGTTCCCGAGGCATCATGATGACGTTGACAGCATCGTGATGATGTTGAAAGCATCATGCACAGCTATCTGGGGTCTACGCTGGTGTAATTTCTTGCATTATTTCTTGAGGTATTGAGTTTCCACTTGTGACACCATCACTAGCAGCCTTGTGCCACACGCACTCGTGATCTATGCAGTCACGACCGACATCAAGGCAAGTCAGCAATTGTTGCCCAACTTTGACTAAGTGGCGAAGGGAGACGTTTGGCAGATCCTTCCAATGCCCACAGCCGTTCGTCACTGCCCCCTGAACCTTGCTTCGTTCCGAAGTCAGGAACAAGACTCAAGAGAAGTCTTTGCCGTGACTGACAATATGGGTGTGTCTCAAAATAGGGGCACCCCCCGAATGGGTGCTTTCCTTTGGTTTCCTTTTGCTTTCCTTTCGGATTGTCCTTTGAACCGACCCAAAAGCGGGTCGCCTCAAAAGACGAAGCCCCATGCCGAAGCACCCAGTGCCTTGGGCTCAGGAGCTGGGCTTCGAGTCAGCACTGGATCGGGTGAAGTTGGGGAAGATGGTGACCCGCGAGCGAACGGGCGAGGCCTTGGAGCCGTTCTTGCTCAGGGTTCCACTTGTTGACAACCCCAAAGTGGACTTCAACCCAGGGGTGCTCGATTTCCCCAGAAGGGAAAGCCCTGGGAAGTCTACCTTGGTAGTCGAAAAGCGGAACCCTGTTCTTGCTTGCGTTCCTTTGAGCCGTTTGGTGGACTTGGCTGGTTTTTTGCCACTCGGAAAGCAGTGGCGCTAAGTGGCTAAGGGAGACGTAAATCTAAACCACAGGGACAAAATCCGTCAGCCCGACAGGAGCGGAAGCCGTGTTCGCATATGCACCGACAAGCAGAGGACATCGCTTCGGAGACCAAACTTTTCCCTTGCCAGCGAGCAGCGTGTGAAGGCAATGAGTCTTTGTCGGCTCACTCCGGGCTGCAACTTACATATGGAACACATTTCAACCAACTAAACAGAAACAATGTTTTACCAGCTGATTGAGAAGGGCCCTGTGTAAATCAGACTCTTCTTTTTCCTCGTCGGATGCATCCTTTAAGGAGCCCTGAGCTGTGCAGGCCGCCAACGTGGCCAACGCGGAGAGCTCGGCGAACGTCTCCTTCGACACCTTGGAGTATGAGGCCGGTGAAGTTGCGAGGATGGCGTGCGAAAAGTGGCTAGGTACCCCAGGATCGTGCCCTTTTACCCTTTTTTTGGGGAGGGTTCCCCTACTAAAATAGACTACAGAAAACAAGGGTACCCTTGTTCTAACCTCTCTACTGGAGGACCTAGATAGGGTAATCTCAAAATGGTTTGCCCTGGTAAATGGAAAGGACTAAGACCTGCGGTCCAAGTCCTGGTGGTTTAATTTTGACCCATACCCATGTGTTACCCTCTCTCAATGGAAGTTGACACGAGTCTTAAGACTACGGTGCTCTTGAAAAGGTGTCCAGGGAGCTGCCCTTAGCGCAGTCTGCTTCTTTCTATATCACAACAAGCTGCGTGGAAGATGCAGCTGTGGATCAGGGATAGACGGCGCAAGGAGTGTGTCTTGCCTTCGCGCAGTCCAGTTGAAATAATCATCTACGTGCGGGTCAAGGGGAATATTTGCAGACCAGCCCTTTGGCTGAAGGAACAGCCAATGCCTGTGAGAGCTGTGGGTTGTGAGAATGCCCGCAGTAGGAGCCCTCGCGGTTGTCGCGGAATTAGCATTTGGCTGCACTTGGCTTCTTTTTGTACTTTGCCTAGGGCTGCACCCTGGCAACATGCAATGCACCTAGGTGTTGGAGAGACACCCATTTTCAACGCAGCTCTGACAAGTGCTCAACCAGCCAAGAGGAGTCGTGTTGGGAAGCATCTATTTTGCTGTGCATGAGCTTGGAGAAACTGCCGCGCATGTGTCTAAATTGATGTTACCGTCCGAAAGGGGTGCCTAAGTTTGACAGGCAATCGTTCACTATCATTGTCAATTTGAGTCAAACGCATCGATGAAATTGCCAAGAGCATCCCTCAAGTGGGCCCTCGCTTTACCATGATATTAGTTTCATTGCTGCCGATATCCGTGGACCCAACGATATTCTTTGAATCCATCTCAAATCCACTGATTGGATTTGTGGCCATCAGATCAGTCCAGTTTTTTTCGGACCTCTGGGAACTCAGGTTTAGTAAACTCTGAATAAACAAAAGGGGGGTTGTCCCTTAGAAGAGATCCTGCACTTTCGACGAGGTTGATTAATCCGGGCACGACATAAATGCAGGACCTGACTGCATTCTGGCCTGGGTTAGTTGTCGTTTCGGTTCCTAGGAGATGTCCAGACTGCAGAAGGCTGAGGCGAAATACCTGATTAAGGACAGGGTGGCAGCATTGTCCCCCAGGCCAATCAGTGGGGCCTGCAGGCTAGCTGGGAGGGTAGTTGTTGAGATGCCTCGTTCTACATGTTAGGGGTTCAAAATTAAGGACCCCAGGGACCACGGACGTGGTTGTTCCCGAAGTTTTGATCAGCCATTTGAATTGTAGAGACGTCCTGTTCACATGGTTTGAATTGACGCTTTCTCGGGCATCTCAAACATATACTTGTACTTTGTGGTTTGCGCTGTTCAGTTGCGACCAGACTGTTGAAAGGCCGTGTCTCACGAATAGGGACCTCCCAAAATCAAAAGGCCACCCCTTCTTTTTGAGATAGATGCAGGTCCTGACAAGGAGCAAGCAGGAAGCCAATCACGAACCATGTGGCTCCCCTGGTTGGTATCAGTTAGTAGTTAGTAGTCATGCTTTAATTCGAAAGCAGAAATCAGCTCCCTTGCGCTACTGCTTAGGATCCAGTCGGAGCTCGTCCAACGCAGTTTCCAGAGTGTGAGACCAACCCATGTGCCAAAACTAAAGGGCAGACATAAAACTGGTGGGGTTGCCTTGAATTCCTGACCCAACCTCCAAAAATAGCAACGCAGCCTCCAAAAGCCGAACCTGCACGCCAATATTTGTCCCTGAGGACTTCGTGAAGTGCATGATTCAGGGCCGCTACCTACAGACTGTGAAAGCTGGTAGCGGCGAAATAGTGGACTGCCTGGCGACGCTCAACAAGAAGGCGCGCCGATGCCCTCGCGTGAAATCTTTTGGGAACAAAGTCATGGTCCAGTTAAACAGCGGTACCACCCATTATTAACGTCAAACAATTCTAGCTCATGATTGATAAGATGACTGCAATTGTTGTTTTCATAGATGAATGAAAAAACAAAGAAACACATATGGTCCATCCTGAGAAGCTTTTCTGACACCAGCACTTTTTAGGACCGACACACCCGCAAACACAGGGATCACAAGCTCAGAACTCCCACATTCACAACTTACAGACACAAACGCGCAGGCATAGCACATCAACCAGACAATCAAGAAGATACACTACATTTATATGGCAACCAAACAAACACGCTGATGCAAACAGATAAGCAAGCAAGGACATAAATGAAGGAAGCGCTGCGATCAAGCACATGAGATGCAACCATAGAAACAAGCCAGCCGACTTATCAACCGGACACACACACACACACACGCACGCACGCACGCACGCACGCACGCACGCACGACACACACACACACACACACACACACCCACACACCCACACGCACCCACACACACCCACGCACACACACCCACGCACACACACCCACGCACACACACACACACACACACACCCACGCACGCACGCACGCACGCACGCACGCACGCACGCACGCACGCACGCACGCACGCACGCACGCACGCACGCACGCACGCACGCACCCACACACACACACACACGCACCCACACACACACACACACCCACACACACACACACACACACACCCACACACACACACACGCACACGCACACGCGCACGCGCACGCGCACGCGCACGCACACGCGCACGCGCACGCGCACGCGCACGCGCACGCGCACGCGCACACGCACGCACGCACACGCACGCATACGCACAACGACTAATCAACTCCAAGTAAACCAACACCCACACACACAGGCACGAAGCATGCAGAGCAAACATGAGCGAGCTGCTTCTTGTTGTTCAAATCAGAGCATTACAAAGCAACAGACACACACACATACACGCACACGCACACGCACACGCACACACACACATACACACACACACACAAGCCGCATGCTGGTCTATGATCAGTACTCAAACAGAGTTGCTGGTGTACTGTCGGCTCGGTGCCCATGCATTGCAAAGAGCACACGATACGCCATTCTAAATCTCAACCAGTCTTTGGCGCACAAATACCTCGGGATATCTTCTTTTAGGGGACCCACCATGTTGTGTGGTTTTCCTTTTTGTTTTCCTTTAAAACCACCAAACAGGGTACTGTCACAAAAAGACACCCACCTGTTGCAAGCATTTGCTGCTGCCATAGGTCTTGCGGGCTGAAGCAGAAACTTGGAAGAAGCGTACACGTTGGTATGTTTGGCCAGTTATTGCCGGGCGATTTGGCAGGGCCCATCACATCGACCCAAACTAGTACTAATAAAAACACAACAACAGAACTTGCATACAGCAGCAGCAACACACACACACACACATCACAACACGACACCAACATGATACGCACACTACACACACTACACACGCAAAACTGGCTGGTCGGGAATGAGGGGGTTTGACCGAAGCGGCTTCGGTTTCCCTTACACGGAAGCCCGTGGGAGAATCGTTTCGGGGGCAGACTCCATGTCTCAGGGGTTTGGATGGTTTTGCTTCTTCCATTTCTTAGAGCCCCGATGCGAAGCGATCTCGCGAAGCCGCGCCAGGTGGATCGCCTGGTGTTGGCGTGCGGCCAGGCCGCCAGCGAGGTGCGCCTGGCGGAGATCAGCGAGGTGACCGTCAGCTCCGAGGCGTTTTCACGAGAAAAAAACCGGAGGCTGAGTCTGGGAACCTGCCAAGCCGAAAAGAACAGGCCCGAGAAAGAAACGTGGGTTCTAGGAACTTCAACAAGGGGTCAAGCCTGTTTGGGTTTCATGATGTAGGAAGTATTAGGATATGTGATGTTTCGTGTCTAATGTGCGTGCTTGTGTTGTGTGATGTGGGATTGTTTCGTTTAAGCCAGAATGTATGCCACTTGAATAGTGTGGGAATGTCAGGGTTTGCTTTGGCAGTCCATGCCCATCATATAGCAACCAAAACTATAAGATGCAGTCGAGCTCAGTTCAGGGCTCTTGTGAGTTATTGAAATCGCTACGCGATCCGCCGACGCCCTTTGTGGTCCCATAAAGGCTCCATGTAGCTCTTAAGCGCCACGACGTAGGACCAACGTGTTGCGTCAAAAACTGCCCCATCCCTCCCAGATGCTGAGAATGCGGAGGACGCAGCCTGCGTACAGGGTTGTGGTTCTTGTTCTTGTTCTTGTTCTTGTTCTTGTGGTTGTGGTTGTTGTTGTGGTTGTTGTTGCTGTTGTTGGTGGTGGTGGTGTTTGTGTTCTTGTTCTTGTTCTTGTCCTTGTTCTTGTTCTTGTTCTTGTTCTTGAACTTGTTCTTGAACTTGTTCTTGTTCTTGTGCTTGTTCTTGTCTTTGTTCTTGTTCTTGTTTTTTTTTGTTTTTGTTTATTCCCCACCCGACAGGAAGGGGTTGTTAGATTCTATGTTGGAATCCGCGTTTGCGATGCTTCTACATCACGCCCCCACCCAGTATCCCGCCAGAGCAGCTCGCCAGCGGATCCCGCCGAGTATCCCGCCAGAGCTGCTCGCCAGTGGATCCCGCCCAGTATCCCGCCAGAGCTGCTCGCCAGTGGATCCCGCCGAGTACCCGCCAGAGCTGCTCGCAAGTGGATCCCGCCCAGTATCCCGCCAGAGCTGCTTGCCAGTGGATCCCGCCCAGTATCCCGCCAGAGCTGCTCGCCAGTGGATGTATCCCGCCAGAAGTGGATCCCGCCGAGCATCCCGCCAGAGCGGCTCGCCAGTGGATCCCGCCGAGCATCCCGCCAGAGCGGCTCGCCAGTGGATCCCGCCGAGTATCCCGCTGAGTTGATGGGAATTTGGAGTCGAAGTCCCTAGGATGTGGAGGAATTTGTTGCAACGGTCGTAAGCTCGTGAGTGTGGAGGGTGGGGATTGCTCGAAGCGAAGTAGTTATTCTTGTTATTTTATTATTTTATTATTATTATTGTTCTTCTTGTTCTTGTTGTTCTTCTTGTTCTTGTTGTTCTTGTTGTTCTTTGTTGTTCTTGTTCGTGCTCGTGCTCGTGTTCTTGTTCTTGTTCTTGCCGACGCTCTGCCCCTCCAGGGCGTGTCAGTCCTGGGACTTGGTGGGGAGATCCCGCTGCTTCTGCCAGAGGAGGTGCCTTGCAGATTGCTCAGCATTGTTTAGGCTGCTGCATCGGAGGCCAAGGGCTACAGATACTGTAAGATGGCTGGTTTCTCCACTTTTGCTTCCACTCGGTGCCCACGAACAGTGGCCCACTAGAAAACGGCTCCAAGTTTTATGCACTGGGCAACTCAGCAGCGGCTTGCACTTGCAGAATAGTTGCAGCATTGTCGAGCCTCTCGGTTGGCACAACATGCCAAACAAAGAAGCACAAACACGCACACCTTTATTATTATTCAGGAGCCGGGCCCAAGGAGAGTTTGCATTGTAGATCGAGCCTCCCAGGGTTGGGCAATTGTTTCAACAACCAAGCCACAAGCAGGCCTGAAAAGCAGGTCGTTCAAACATGTCATTGGTTTGAGCATGTTTAAGCAGGGGCTTGGCCAAACCCAAAGTTTCACCTGCACTGCAGGAGCGGGAGACCTTTGCCAACGCCCTGGCCATTTTGGCCCACCGGGCGGCGCGCACCGAGATGCCCGGCCCAAGGGTTCTTCACTTCGGGAGCGCGAGGGGTGCCTTCATGGAGAACCGTCCGTGACTCCAACCGATGCGCAACACCTTTGCTTTGAAACGGCACAGGTGCTTTGAAGTGCATAATCAATACTCAGTGGCACCCCTTTGCCTTTGTTTTGTGTTTGCCCCACAAAAATGGTCTTCCCCAAGAAGGGGTCCCTTTTTTCCCAGGGTCACTAAACAACTGACAATACGTATTCACGTACCAGAGTGTCCGGCGGAGCCAGCGGGGCTGGAAGTTTCAGACAAATTAAGGATATTGTCTGACGCGCGTTTCTTTTTCCCTTTGTTTCTCTTTCTCTTTCTCTTTCTCTTTCTCTCTCCCTCTCTCAGCGCAAATCGTCAAACAAAAACACGAGTTTTTGAGGGAGAGGGTTCACTTGTTGACGGCTGGCGAAACGGTGCGCGCGGCCGTGCTGATGGTCCCGTCTCTGCACTGCAAGACCGCTCCGAGACCGCTCCGTACAGGCGTCGTGACCGAGGTGGTTTGCACATATGCGGAGGAGCCGAATTTGACGCACAGGGCCACGTTTTCTTCCTGCTTCTATTCCTCGGTTCCGGCATTTTCCAGCTTTGTTCCGCGCCTTGCATCTAGTCTCAAAGATCACGCAAGTTCCAGTACTACGGAAGTTCCTTCTAAATGTGCTCTGATTCTCCAATCCGCGTGTGGTTGGGCTGTGGT